TGGCGAATTTGCCAATCTTGGTATTCTCTGGCAAATGCCAAACATCCTGCATGGTGTTGGGCTGTAAGCACAACCCCCACTTGTGGACATCAGGCCCTCATACCACCCTCATGGAGTCTGTTTCTGACCATTTGAGCAGCCACATGGACATTTGTGGCCCGCTGGAGGTTATTTTGCAGGCCTCTGGCAGTGCTCCTCCTGTCCCTCCTTGCACAAAGGCGGAGGTAGCGGTCCTGATGCTGGGTTGTTGCCCTCTTACGGCCTCCTCCATGTCTCCTGATGTACTGGCCTGTCTCCTGGTAGTGCCTCCATGCTCTGGACACTATGCTGACAGACACAGCAAACCTTCTTGCCACAGCTCACATTGATGTGCCATCCTGGATGAGCTGCACTACCTGAGCCACTTGTGTGGGTTGTAGACTCCGTCTCATGCTACCACTAAAGTGAAAGCACTGCCAGCATTCAAAAGTGACCAAACCATCAGCCAGAGAGCATAAGAACTGAGAAGTGGTCTGTGGTCACCACCTGCAGAACCACTCCTTTATTGGGGATGTCTTGCTAACTGCCTCTGCTTTCCACCTGTTGTCTATTCCATTTGCACAACAGCATGTGAAATTGATTGTCAATTAGTATTGCTACCTAATCAAATGGACAGTTTGATTTCACAGAAGTGTGATTGACTTGGAGTTACATTGTGTTGTTTAAGTGTTCCCTTTATTATTTTGAGCAGTGTACATTGTTATGTAACGATTACCGAATGATAAAAGCCATTTGAGCATTCAGTTAACTCCCCCCCCCCCGATATTCTGTTTGGAGAAATGTGATACCGATAGTTTTCAACTTATGACCACAATTGAACCCGACATTTTTGTTACTGAGACAGTTGTTCAATGGATTTTGCCCCACTTTACGACCTTTCTTGCCACAGTTGTTAAGTGAATCATTGCTGCTAAGTTAAGTACTACAGTTGTTCGGTCAATCTGGCTTCCCTGTTGACTTTGCTTGTCAGAAGGTCGCAAAAAGTGATCACGTGAATCCCAGGGGTGGGATTCAATTTTTTAAACAACTGGTTCTGTGGGCATGGCTTAGGTGGTGGGCGTGGCTTGGTGGTAATGTTACTGGCTGGGCTTGGCCAACTCAACATCACTCACATCGAGGCACGCATCTCCTCGTCTGGCCTCTCATGACTGAGGGGATGCTGCAATAGTTGTAAGTGTGAAAAATGGTCTTGTCACCTTTTTCAGTGCCATTATAACTTCGAATGGTCACTCCACACAAATAAAGTACCAGCAAAGGAGGGGAAAAAAACTCCAGAGACGTTCCTGAGACAGGAAATCTAGTCCTGCCAAGAATGTAGGTTAACGGAGAGGCAGTTTCTGTAAGCAACACCAGAATGTTTCCTTCCTGCCTTCCTTACAGGATTAGGCCAGTAATTTCTTCTAACAACCGGTTCTCTGAACTGCTTAGAATGTTAACAACCGGTTCTAGAGAATAGGTGCAAACCTGTAGAAACCCAAGGACCCTGCAAGGGTCATAAATATGAGTCTGTGGCTAAACATCTGAATTTTCACCCTGTGACTATGGAGATGCTGCAACGGTGTGAAAAATGGTCATAAAGCAGTTCCTCTGTAACTTTGAACTGTCACTAAATGTTGTAAGTCGAGAACTACCTCTGCATTTCATGAGAATTATTCAGAGGAAAATAATATTAGATATAGTGATCTTTTAGGAGTGTTTATTTGTGGTTCATATATTTCTCACATAGTTTTTAAACTTAGACCCTTGATAATATATTAAACATATTAACCCTTTTATAATTAATTAATTTAATAGCTTGATCAGAATGCTTTGAACTTAGTTTTATTTATATTATTTACTGGGCTTATTTTGCTCGTTTGCTACCGATCCTAAAGGCCTTAAATGACTGCGTATGTCTGTGTGTGCATTTGTACATGTGTGTGCACATGCACACATTTATATATATATATATATATATATATATATATATATATATACACCCCCACCCAATCAGAACACAGCCAAGCCCCCACCCAATCAAGTCACACCCCCACTAGCAGTTAAAAGGAAGAAGCAGCTGCAAGCTCACATTACTCTGAGAAGCACAAAGCTGAAGACACAAGCCTGAAGATGATGAATGAGATTTCGTTGAAATGTTGCCAAGATATTTCCAATTTTATGTGGGAGAAAACCCGAATAACCAAAGATCCATATATATATATATATATTGGTTGAACAATCAACCAATGGAACAGCTTGCCCTCGGAAGTTGTGGGAGCGCCATCACTTGAGACCTTCAAGAAGAGATTGAATTGCCATTTCTCAGAAATAGTGTAGGGTCTCCTACTTGGGTGGGGGGTTGGACTAGATGACCTACAAGGTCCCTTCCAACTCTGATTATCTGTTATCTGTTGTATGTAAACACATTCTCAAAACCCCAAACACATATAAATGTAAAAAAAAAAAAAGCAGAACACTCTTTTCTTACTTAGTCTTCAACAGTCTTTAGACCTGAGCAGGGTGAGGCTGCCCTGATTTCTGCAGGGGAAGTGTTCCAAAGAATGGGGCAGCTATTAAGAATACCTGCTTCTGTGGCTCCATTAGGAAACAATCCTGTAGGGATGGGACCTGGAGTTGACCCTTTCATAACCAGGTGTGGAGCCAACAAGGACTCTGAACATGCCAACCAGTGTCTTAAGTCCCACTAGGAAGCCAGCTGGGAGCCACTACAGTTCCTGAATCAGCAGGATCATCTCAGTATATTCAGATGCACACATAACTGCCTGGACTGCTGTATTCTGTACTTAGGGTATCTCCCAAATGTTCTTCAAGATCAGCTACATGTAGTATATTACTGTAATCCAATCAGGAGATGACCAAGGCATGAGTGATGGTGAACAGAATCTGGCCAGAAACGATTGCCATCCTTTGAATGGGTATAAAATGGAATCATTACATCTACAAAGCCATTCCATATTGGAGGGATTCAACTAGACTCTGTCTCTCTCTATCCAGTGTCCTGACATCCTCCGGAACTGGGTCAGCACTGTCATTGCACTGCCTGTTTGGCCAGGGGATGAATGGCTTCCCCCAGTGGTTTCATGCAGAAGTTTAAGTCCAGAAGGATGCCCTGTTTGAATAGCATTGAAAACCATGAAGAGGACCAGAAAGTTCCTTTGATCCTGATCTTTCCAAAGGGGACCTTGACTGCCAAGAGACCTCTAAGATCTTTGCAGCCATAGGGCAGCCATTTTCTCCACGACCTTTCCAAGACGAGAAACGTTGGAGACAGGTCTATAGATAGTGCATGGTACTACTGGTAAGTTAAGGAGGCTGTAATGGACTCTTTGCTCAAGAAATCTTTACTTTATTTGACTGTAGACATCAGGCCCTCAATATGTTGGATCAAATCTATCCAAATGGTCCAGGATTTAATGGCATGTACAATTTGTGGACAATCACATAACATCACTGTTGTGTGAGCTGCACTGGTTCTCATTAGGTTTCCAATGCTGGTCATCACCTTTAAATCTCTACTTGGCATGGAGCCAGGTTACCTGTGGGACTACCTCATCCTAACGATTCCTGCTTGCCCCATCAGATCTGGCAGAGTGGGCAGGTTCCTGGAACATTCAGTTTTTAAAAAGGTGTCATTTGGTGGGTCTCTGAACATGTTGTTTCCGGTTATGGTGCCTGCTGCCTGGAACAATCTTCCTCCTGAAATATGGACAGTCCCTATAACTTTGGCCTTTTGTGAAGACCTCACTCTTTCCACAGAATTTGTATGTGATTGGTGGTTTTGTGGCTTTAGTGAACTGATATAATTTTGGGGGGAGTGGGGGTTGGTTTATCTTGTTTGGCACCCAGAGTTTCTTGGATTAATGGTAGCCATATAAATTGGATTCATAAATAAATAAATGACGGTCGTGGCAGCCCTGAAGTTCTGAGCCACTCCAGGCCACTTGCTAAGAGAAGGTAGGCTGAAGCCCCTTGATACTTCAAGCTGGAGGAACTCTGTTTCCCCTCTTTCCCCGAACAATCAAGTTGAGTAGTCCTGGTAGGGATGGCGGAGTGCAAGAAGGTGAATGGTGCACGAGTGAGGCCAACTGGCTCTTCTAACCCAGCCACACAGCCAACAGAGTTGCAAGGAGGCCTCATGACTTTCTAATTCATGCTCTCTTTGAGCAGATCTTGCTTTTCAAGTAGTGCTTTTCAAATTCTAAAGCTCAGACAACCTGTAACCACCAGCTGGCATTGTATCTGCCCAGAAGCAGTTTCTTCCTTTTCAAATACTCTTCCAAGTTTAGCTCTAGGAAGCAGGAGGAAGCATCAGCTTGTTTTATAGGCATTTGAATACCTAATTTGTAACATTCAGGCAAGGAGGGACAGGCCTGGAGTGAACTCAAAGCCTCTAATAATAGAATCTATGTTCACAAAGCCTTTTGAGGTTGAAAATACTTTAAACCTTTCTTTAAACATCCTTACTTCAAACATATAAGTAGGCCAGTGTATCTGCACTGCAGATGGTTGTAGAATGGAAATGGGATTTTACAGGAAATGAGATATGTTATACAGGCTAAATTCACACAACTTGCTAAGCCATAGGGTAAAAAGTTAGACTTATTCATCTAGCCAGGATTTACAATTATGTGTAAATTCAAAATGAGGATTGCTTCACCCTAGTAAATTTTTAGTTGTAACTTGGGTGAGATATGTACTCTACCCAATTAATCATGGAGCATGTATTTAATGCTGAAATCAATATGTTTTTAAGCTTGTATTACTGACAATGCCTTATATTGTTAATTCTAGTATTATCCAATAGAAGTTAGCATTTGGGTTCCTATTACAATGTAACAATATAAGTTGTCAAATATCAAATGTCAATAGAAACCTCAAATATCACTAGGAGCAAAAAAAAAAAAGGATATTGCTGCAAGATACAGCAATATTTGCTAGAACGGACAGAAAAAGCATTTTTTTAAAATGTATTTTCCCAGACATTTTAAACATATGTGTTTACTGCAGAATGGGTTTGCCACTACTGCATTTTGATGATCCTGGTATTATATAAGTTGCAAATAATAAAAATACAGTATTTGTAGGTAATCTTGATCACAATGCCTCACCATGAGAAAGGTCATTGTTGAATCAGGATGCTGGATTCTGCAGGCACTACAGCTGCTTTTCTGTGGTGGCAAAATTTGTAGCAGAAAATGAAGTAAAAATGGTAGTGAAGGGAACAAGGGTAACCATAACCATTGGGGGGGCGGGAGCAAGGGCAGCCAGAGCCATTTTAGCTAGAAAAATGCTTTGGCTCCAACACTATTTTTCTTATCTTTGGAAATTCATACCCAACAATTTATGCAAACATTCCTTTATGATGATATAAACTATTTCTAAATATAACATTAAAAAACCCAAATGACTTAAAATAAGCTTAAAACATGAGCCTTCTTTGTTCTTTATATCAACAATACACATGGAATTAGTCACTGAGTTTTCTCTTCTTTCTGGGGGATCTTCTTCTTCAAGAGATAAAAAACCAGAGATACATTCACCATTAGCTGTAAATAGCCAAAAGAGGAAACTCCAAATTGTCTATATAAAAATCCTCCCATTGTTGGGCCAAATGTCCGTATCAGTGGAGTGACTGAAGCACTGATTCCAAGCATGGCACCTATGAGAAACAATGGAAAAATCAGGAAGCACAGATCAAAATTCATTTTATGATCTTCTCTAGCTCCAATGCATTAAAAAGATCAGTGTCTTAAAAGAGTTAAATATATTCACCCTGATTATAAATGGGCTCTGTTCCTAGAACATGCTTGATCCAATCACCCTCTTCTCCAGTCAACCAGCCCCAGACTAAGAATTTTGGAAAAATAATATTTGCAAAAACTCCCGGAATTGCCTGGAATCCCAGGAACACCACATGCCCAAAGAGTGTTCTAGTTTTGTATATCACCCAGAGCCCACTTGGATGGGTGGCTGATAAATTTAAAATAAACCAGTTTGGGTGCCTTAGGAAAAAAAAATTCTGGACAGCACCTGGAAAATTTGGTCCGACAAAATTTCCATCTGATAATTATATACCCCTTGTACCTGTATATATACTATATTGATACATTATTACATTCTAGGTTCTTGAGAAGAAAAATGATATATATGAAGGCCAATTTCTATTCACTGGATGCAATACTGTAGAAGACCATTACAATATATTTTTACTTGAAGTCAAAAGAGTCATCAAACTATATGTACCAATAACAACTCCCAAAACCAGAAAAATCAATAAGGAAACTTCAATCCAAAAAGAGATCACTCTGGTGGAAAAACAAGTCTGGTCACTTTGCCAACTTCAAAACCCGATACAAAAATTTATGCCAGCATATAAAGACTGAATGCACCAATTATCACATTAAACAAGAGGAAAACCTTCTACACACCAATTCCACCCGCGCTTTCTACAATTTTGTAAACAACAAACTAAAAGACTCAAGGTCCATCCCACCCCTGAAAGGACCTAATGGTAAAGACTGCAACGACGACACCATTAAAGCCAACCTCTTTAACACATTCTTTGGCTCCGTATTTTTAAACAGCAATGGGTCATGCCCAGTATTTCCTAGTCGAACCACAGACAACTACAATGATCTAATACATATTGATTTTACAGAAGACATTGTTGAAAAAGCACTGCGCAATCTAAAACCATCTCTATCTATTGGACCGGATGGAATATGTGCCTACTTCTTAAAAAAGCTATCCACTGCTATAGCTGAACCTCTAAGCATAATCTTTGAAAAATCTTTCAGGACCAGCTCCTTGCCAAAACTATGGTCACAAGCCACGGTCATCCCCATCTTCAAAAAGGGAGACCTCAGCCTAGTTGAAAATTACAGACCAATCTCTTTATGCTGCGTCACCTGTAAAGTCATGGAATCAATTATTAACCAATCCATCATCCTCCGCTTAGAGACAAACAACCTACTCTCTAATAAACAATTTGGTTTCAGAAGGAAACTATCCTGTAATCTGCAACTCTTACACTGCAAAAACATATGGACTACACAACTCGATCAGGGCAAAGCAATAGACGCAATCTACATAGACTTCTGTAAAGCCTTTGATTCAGTGGTACACGGCAAACTACTCCTAAAACTAAAATCTTATGGTATCTCTGGACACCTGCATAACTGGATAGAAGCATTCCTGTCAAACAGACAACAAATGGTCAAAATTGGGAGGGTCCTATCAAATTCTGTACCTGTCAACAGTGGTGTCCCCCAAGGCAGTGTTCTAGGACCAACTCTTTTCATACTCTACATAAATGACCTCTGTGATCATATCAAGAGCAACAGCGTTCTCTTCGCTGATGATGTAAAGCTGTTCAACACCACAGACAATACTGCTACCCTTCAAAAAGATCTTGACTATGTATCAGAATGGTCAAACAAATGACAACTCCAAATCTCAACAAATAAATTCTCTGTCTTACATATTGGCAAAATAAAACCAGAAAATAAAATACAGGCTGAATAGTCAAGACCTTGTTGTTGTTGTTTTTAAACAAGTTTTATTGGTTTTTTAAAGACAAACAAAACATAAGACATAAAGGCGTCAAACCTCCTTTCTAAAAATTACTTATAAGTTTTAACAAAACAAAACATTATTTTTTTAAGACATAGTTCCACATTATCACATTTCCATTTAAGCACGTATATATCTTTTCCAAATTTCTCATTATTTCTCCCTTCACTTTTATTCAATTATATTTCTTTCTATCAAGGTTTTATTAATTCTTAATCAAATATAAACATTTATACAGCATGGTTCCAAATTATCACATTTCCATTTAGACACCTATATATCCTTTCCAAGTTTCTCATTGTTTCTCCCTTCACTTTTATTCAACTATATTTCTTTCTATCAAAGTTTTATTAATTCTCAATCAGACATAAACACACAAAATACAAAACATAAAACAAGACATAAAAACATAAAACCTCCTTAATTATCATTTATACACGTCTTTTCCAAATTTCTCATTGTTTCTCCCTTTAGTTTTATTCCTCCAAGGTTTTATTAATTCTCAATCAAACATAGCTAACCAAAACACAAAACACAAAACATAAAACTTCTTTTGAAAAGTGGCTTAGCCCCGGGTTACATCTTTTTTTACAGACCTATATCAAAGTCATGCTCACGTTATATACCATTCTTATCTTATTTACCATTCTATATTTTCTATATAACTTCTCCCTTCTTTTCACTCTCTTAATTATATTTTGTTTATTTCATCTTATTTTAAAATCATTATACTTGTATCTTTTGTCCGTTCTTTTCCAATTATCTATAAATCACTTCTCTTTAACAGAAAATTTCCCCTGTGATCACTTTTAAAGTGTAACGCCTTTCTATCTTCCCCCTAAATTAACACTTAAAATAGTAGATAATTTCCATTCTGATTCTGCTTAGTACATTCTACATGTTGCATTTTAAAATAAAAGAATAATAAATTTATAATATAGTTAAGTATATAATTTCCATTCTAATTCTAGTTCTACTTAGTACATTATTTTAAAATAAAAAAATGAAATAGTAAATTTATAATAACATTAAAACAATAACAAATTAAACTGTAACTAAACATTAATCATTTTACACATTCTCTTTGATATTTTATTGAGTATTGAGATCTATCATTATTAAACATTTTAATATTTTATTAAATCTTATAATATTCCAATGGACTATTTCAAATGCAAATACTACAATACTATCTTATGTACTCTTGCAGAATCTTTCCTTAATACTCTATCCTTTATCTCTGAAAAAAATCTGCTTTTTTACCTCTTGTTTCAGGCCTTTATGGCTTTTTCCCCCCTTTTCCCCTCCCTTTCTTTTCCAGTCTGGTCTTTTTGTCCCCCCTTCTCCTAACCTCCAGCTTTTTAACTTCCCCTCTCTGTTGTATTTCTCTTTTCTGTTGCTTTCTAACATTGTACCTTTTTTTCACCTTATTTTTCTTTTTCTTGGTTGTTTTATTAAATCTTAAATTCTCATTTTTCCTTCCTCTCTTCCTATTTTCTTTCTTAAGTGAACTTTTTTGTCCATTAAAAATGGCTTCTTCTTCCTCTTCTTCTTCTTCTCCTTCTTCCTCATGTATTTGCTGATATGTAGAAACCGCCATTTCTAAAAAGTGGAAGACAGCTCCCAAAGAATCCTTGCCTTCTTGTTCTCTTTCCTTTAATTTTTCATATTCCATTTTTAATTCATCCACAGATAGTGCCATTGTAATTTTTTTAAAAACAACCCAGATGTTTTTAGTCTTAAAGTAATTTCCAAGTGTCAAAGTTATCAAACAGTCCAAACAAACACAAGATATTTCCTCTTCTTCTCTGCAGTTTTTCCTCCTGGGGCAAAATCCCAAAATATATTTTAAAGCCGTATTATAGTTAGTTGCTGGTCTTATAATCTTCAAGGCGTCTCCTCCAACAAATTTTTAAAGTTTTTTTTAGTCCTCTCCTTCCCACTTATAACAAAGAGCTTATTTTTACCTTAAAGAAGCAGGTTTTTCAGTGCTCATTTGCTTTCTCCGTAGGGAAGGGGAGTAAACTTTCCTTCAGCACTTTTGCCGCTTTAACAACTTCTTTTGGAAACAAATGTATCAATCCAAAAGTCAGGTTTCCAGGGTGTTTAAAAGTATCTTAATGTCCCGGTTCAGCCAAGAAAACTTTCTCCTTCTGATTCTTCTTCCCGCACAGATCTTATCTGGTTGAAGATTCCTTTGTGGCTGCCATTTCTGACAGCCACTCCACCGCCTCAGGAAAAAGGAGTCTAGCCGGCTGGGGAAAGGGGTTGCGATATCCCCAGACCCCTGTCCGGATCTCCTCTGTCTTCTGCTACCTCTTTGGGGTAGCGACAACCCCCAAATCCAATTGGTTCGGGGTACCTCAGCGGCAAGCGCAGCAGGGACCTGCAGCATTGTGGATTCCTGCTGCTGCCGAAGCCTGCAACTGGAAGTTTCCGTCAAGACCTTGTTGATGATCCAAACTCTGTCAAGGATCTTGGAGTACTCATCTCTAATGATCTAAGTGCTACAACCCACTGCAACTACATAGCCAAAAAGGCGTTAAAAGTTGTTAACATAATCTTACGTAGCTTTTTCTCTGGTAATATTACACTAATAACTAGAGTATACAAAACATTTGCTAGATCAATACTCGAATACAGCTCATCAGTCTGGAACCCACATTACGTATCTGATATTAAAACAGTTGAGAAAGTCCAGAAATATTTCACAAGAAGAGTTCTCCACTCCTCTACTCGTTGCAGAATACCTTATGCCACCAGACTCGAAATTCTAGACCTAGAAAACTAGAACTATGCTGCCTTCGGTCCGATCTAAGTATAGTATATAAAATAATACATTGCAATGTCCTACCTGTCAATGAATACTTCAGCTTCAATCATAACAATACAAGAGCAAACAATAGATACAAACTCAAGGTTAATCGCACCAAACTTCATTGCAGGAAATACGACTTCAGCAACAGAGTGGTCAATGTCTGGAATACTCTACCTGACTCTGTGGTTTCTTCCCCAAACCCCCAAAATTTAACCTTAGACTGTCTACTATTGACCTTTCCTAAGAGGTTTGTAGGGGGCATGCACAAGCGTACTAACATGCCTACCGTCCCTGTCCTATTGTTTCTTTTATTTTTTTTATTTTTCTTATATGTATCCATGTATTCATAACTATGTTTTTACTTATACCTATTATCTTGTAAGCAATTGACAAACAAACAAACAAACAAATAAATAAAACACCAGCTAAAGAACTAGCAGCTGTGATTTCACATTTTTGTTTATATAATTATCACAAAATGCAAAGACCTGCAGATAAAAGTGGAACAACTGTGGCAAAAAATAAACAAATAGAAATCACCAACAGTAATAAGTGCCCTGGATGCAATTGCAAAATAACTGTAGCACCACTTAAACATCATTGCCACTGACAAAAATCCTCATCGTCAATTGCAGAAGACCGCTTTACTTAAAACAACTTAAATCCTGCAATGATACCTCTAACACCATCAAACAACATCTGCCTACCCTTGGTGGATAAATATGCCAAATAGAGTCTAAACAGCTGCCTGACTGTGCAAACTACCACCACAGTAATGATGATGACGAGGATGATGACGAGGATGATAATGCCACCACTAGCCCTTTCCTACAGAGTGAGGCAGGGAGCAGGAACTGAGGCTTGGCCTTTATACCCAGTCAGTGTTTGGGAGGTATGTTCTGTGCCGTCAGATTTGGAAATGGATTCTATAAGAGAAATATTTAGAACACTGGGCTGCCGCTTCATTCCTGATCAGTGAAACTATGCTTTATGTATTATTATGGTGAGTTTCGCTTGATTTAAGCATTGCCTATAACATTTTATTTAATGTACTTTTCTTATTTATGTTTCTTAAATTATCTGGACATTTTCTTCGCTGGAAGACTACCACCCACTTGACAGTAAAACAAGAATGAAAATAATTGCACACCAAGAGTTCAATAAGAATCATTTAATGGGTTGCTCTCCACTTGCAGGGGATGGCAATGGGTGTGACAGAGGAAATCTACAGGGGACGGTAATGTGCAGCTCCATCCCTGGCCAAAAATGGGTGTTGAAGCTGTTTTAAAAAATAATTGTGTTAGCTTGGGAGTCACTTGCACTGCAGTAATTGCTAGGTATGGATTTAGTAAAAAAAAAAAAGAAAAGCCTAAATGTTTAATATATCTTGTCCTTTGGCTCATGCTGACCCTAGTTTACTTTTTTTTGGAAGATTAGCACTTCTTTGCATGATAGAATTAACCACTTGTTTTTAGAGCTGAAAGGATAGGAACTGTGCTAGCTACGAGCTTATGTTTAAGGCTCTTCTGTGCTTCACTTCAAACCCTCAAATTTAAATATAGCACAAATTCCAAACATGTTTTACCCAGTGACTTGTCATTCCCTATCTAATACCCCCAAGACAGTACCAGCCCCTTCTGCTGCAAGGTTTGACACATATATCCATAACACATGGGGGATGAGCTGAAAACTCATAGATTCCCCCCCCCCTTTTTTTTTGCAATATGTATGAATGAACATCCAGGCACACGGATACCCTTGCTTCTATTCCTTTAGGTCCCGAAATCCTGTTTCTGGTCTACACTGTTCCTAAGCCTTGTTCCTAATTTTCTGCTGCTTTTAAGCCGATGTAAGCAGTCCTTCTCAACTGTCAACTCATAATCATTGACGCAAATCAGACTCAGGATAAGCTGTTGAACTGGCTTCCACATAATGATTCAGGTTGCCTCTGGGCCAAGGAAGCAAGCTGAGCAGGCTTCGTCTCCCTGACAAAAGCTCTTTTGAGAAACAGTCTGGGCCAGTGGCAGCTGCTGCTTTCAACCTCCCCAAACACCCTCCATTTCAAAAGGTTTGGCTAGAACCCAACAAGGAGCGAGTGCAGAGAATGTCCAGGCCACAAACACGGTGACTAGCAATAGCAAACTTCATTTCAGCTGCATTTTCGTTAAAATTTGATTCAGAGAAGTGAGGCCCTTCCCAATATTTACTTAGATAATGAAGTTTAAATTCTTATTTAGTTTCTCTGGATAGTTTATCAACTAGCAAATTATTATAGACAACCATCATCAAAATCATTGTTTCCTAGTCCACAGCTAGAAGATTTTAAACACTAAAACAGGGGTCCCCAACCCCCGGGCCGTAGCCCACTACCGGGTATTGAGCCCTTCAGAACCAGGCCGTGGAAGTGGTAATTGAGTCTGTGAATGTGTATCCCCACTTGTGCAAACCAGTGGGCAAGTGCATGCACACATGTTCATTTGTGCAAGCAGTGGCTAGCGTGTGCACACATACTCCATTTGCACAAGTGTTGGGCATGCATGCCTGCACATGCACTTGCCGCTGTTTGCAGAGAACCATCGCCCCTCCCCAGCTGATCTGCAAAGCTGTAAAGTTTGGGGAACTCTGGGCTAGAATGTTGTTCTTGGGTATCAGTTAGGGCAGGGGTGTCAAACTCAAGACCGGATCTGGCCTGCAGGGCCATCCATGGTACATCTGCCACCAAAACCGGAGCTCAAGAGGGCTGTGTGTGGCCCTCCCATACTCCATTTTTGACCGTGACAGCCTCCTGCAGCCCTCTGCCTATGAAAATGAAGCATGGGGAGGCTGTTGCGCATAAAAACAGAGCCCAGGCGGGCCGCATGTGGCCTCCACAAGCTCCGTTTTCACTGGCAGGGGGCTGCAGGAAGCTGTTGTGGCCGAAAACGGAGCCTCGATGAGTGATGTCAGTCTGGCCATGTCCCTAGCCACACCCCCTCCCCCGAGATCAAACAGAACTCTGATGTGGCCCTCAATGAAATCGACTTTGACACCCCGGGTTAGGGATTGTTCAGAGAGGAAGCATCTAAGACAGTGATAGTCAGCCTGGTCCCTAACGCCCACTAGTGGGCGTTCCAGCTTTCACGGTGGGCGGTAGGGGTTTTGTCCTCTACTTTATAAATCACCATTACTGTGGAACCGGTGGGCGGTTAGAGAAAAATTTACTACTAACAGAGATACAAAGTGGGCGGTAGGTATAAAAAGGTTGACTACCCCTGATCTAAGACATCTAAAGCTTTTGAGAATTAACCCATGTGTGGCCCATATGCATGAGAACTGCCATCATCCCACATCTAATCTCAATGGCTGTTCTGAAGGGCTTCTGATTGGAGCTAGCAGTTGAGAAAAGAGCATTTGGGTAGGGGAGTTGCTTGGCTGTGTAACGAGGTGGAGTGGGGTGGGATCTGTCTTGAAGCTCAGACCGGGTCACATATTATCCAAAGTCCAGGCAGAAAAATTGCTATGCAGAACGAACATTCTCTAGGAAATTAATCTCAGGAAATGCTGCAAGATTTTACTTCTTTGTTAAAAACTGGGTCATTAAGTAATATGGGTCACTGGCTTCCTTCCTTTAGTAACTCCAGCTCTTTTGATTCTAACTAGTATTAACCGGCTTGGCAGATAGGCAATTCCAGTAAGACGATCCTTTTCTGCATCCAATTATGTGAAAGCTGCAGAGACTTTGGAACTTGGCATCTCTTCCTGCAGAGCTCTAAAAAGTTCCTAGTCAGAAAGAGCATGATGTACCAGACCGTTGCCAATGCTCATTTTTGGAAAGCAGTGAACCAAAAGAAAGCAGCACATCCGAAAGGAAACATTAATCAGAAAGAGAAAAGACTGAGCCCAGAGTTGGTATTCAGCAGGTTCTGACCAGTTCTGGAGAACCGGTAGTGGACATTTTGAGTAGTTCGGAGAACCAGCAAATGCCACCTCTGACTGGCCCTGCCCCCATCTCTTCTCTGCCTCCTGAGTCCCAGCTGATCAGCTGGGTCTTCTTTTATTGCCCTGCACAGGAGAATGGAGCTGCAAAGCAGGTTAGTGGGGTGGGGAGGGAATGGGGATTTTGCAGTATCCTTACAGTATGCCAAGCTCACCAAGCCACACCCACAAAGCCAAGCCAAGCCAAGCCAAGCCACACCCACCAAGCCATGCCTACATAATTGATAGTAAAAAGTTTTGAATCCCTCCACTGACTGAGCCTTACCTGTGTCGGAAACAGGGACTGACTTGGTCAGGATGATATCGGTAATGACACCGACAACACTGAAGGAAAACACCATGGGGGGCACAATGAGGCAGTAATGAAAGACATTGGTCATCAAGACCTGTGAGAAAGAAGAGTAGCAGGTCACAAAAATGAGCTACCCATATTCAGGAAGATCTTCTTGCCAATTTGTCAGGTTCCACAAATGATTTCAAATCTATTTGTCCCAAAACATATTGGCTTACACAGGAACTACAGATAGTCTTCGACTTACAACAGTTCATTTAGTGACTGCTTGAAGTTACAACGGCACTGAAAAAAGTGACTTAGGACCGTTTTTCACACTTACGACCGTTGCAGCGTTCCCGTGGTCATGTCATCAAAACTCAGGCACTTGGCAACTCACTCGTATTTATGACATTGGCAGTGTCTCGGGGGTGCGTAATTCCCCCTTTTTCGGCCTTCTGACAAGCAAAGTAAGTGAGGGAAGCTAGTTTCACTTAACAATCATTTTTACTAACTGAACACCTGCAGTGATTCACTTAACAACTGTGGCAAGAAAAGTCATAAAATGAAGCAAAAGCCCCTTAACAAATGGGTCACTTAGCAGCAGAAATCTTGGGCTCAATTGTGGTTATAAGTCAAGGACTGCCTGTACTTGGTTGCATCTATTTGCATAAACGACTTGGGAGGGATTTGGCCGAAAAGAGTGGAATACTGATTGTTCAGGAGAAGTTGTGAAATAAATTCATAAATTGTGAAATAAAGAGACATCTATCAGGTCCTGATGATCTGGAACAAATGGCCACAGATGCTATTAAGAAGCTTAGCTGATATTTGTTTAGGCAGTTATTATTAGATTTTTTCAAAAATAACACATCTATATAGCCCCTGTTAGTGGCAGATTATAGCTGAACTGTTTAACGTTTGTTTCTTCACCCCAGGGGACTCCGGGACAGCCTAACATCATCTGGACTTGGCACAACTCACTTTTTCTGCTTGTTGAACCACCACCACAGGAGCAGAATGATTCACTGGCAGTCACAACTTGCAAATAAGAAATATTTGCAATTATCCGTGTTTCAGCGTTCCAGCAAACCTCATTCCAATCAATAACTCCGAGACGGACACTTCTCAAAGGTACCTTTATTTGGATAGTAAAACTGGTACATCTGTGGAATCCCAAATCTGAAAGTTTTCGGGCTTCCTTCAATATTCAAACTACAAATCCATCCCCCTTTGGCCGTCATCACATCAAATGGCCCAATCACGATCTGTCCTAAAGTCAGATTATTATTTCATTCTGCGCCATACTCAATGACCTTGAACTAACAAAAGAATTTTATTTTATCTACTTAAAGCTACTCAGTTGAAACCTTCCTTCTCCCACTTTCTCAGGCTTGTGGCAGGGTCGGAGCATCGACTCTCAAAATGACTTCCAAAGCTGACACTGTGTCTTAACATCCACAGTCACAGTTCTGAGGATTAGTACGTATTATAGATAATATTGGTTCACCTCTGACTACTGACTACTGACTTAAAAATTATTTTCATAGATGAAGGCTGCTGATGTTAGCAGGGGATACTGTCAATTTTTAATGGGGGAAGCTTTTGGTGCTGTCTATAGCAGGGATGTCAAGCTCACAGCCCACATGCTGAATGCATCACACACTGCCCACGCCCACGCCCGGTTTAGCAAAGGGGGAAAAAGTCACAATATATCATGTGACAATGTCATGACGACACGAGTTTGACACCCATGGTCTATAGCATCTCCTGCCTCCACTATTATATAACAATATAGTCAAAAATTACTCTCTCTCTTATCTTCACATAGTCTCAGCCAAAGCATCAGCTGATCTGACACAGTTCTTCACATAGTCACATATTGTGGATGAAATTTGTAATCCTTACAACATGCTGGCTTGATTATTACAAATATTTTTATTCCTCTTCCTTCTAGCAGATCGGCTCCACTGCTCACTCTTTGTTCTGATTTAATTAGGATTCTTATAGTTTAAATACAAAATGGATAGCTGATGAGCAGTTTAAGATTATTCCTAATGGAAAAGAACTGTTAGTACTTGAAGGTCCCTGCCAAGAGCTCCTAACCTAAAGGATAAATTGCAGCAGAATATTCATTTCTCCAGTCTCATAGGAGTCAAAGGTTGCCATTTATCATTGGGACCTTTTAACAGTCCAGGAAGTTTCTATTTTCAATTATCCATAGAGTGACTCATGATCTAAGATAACTGATTCCCTGTGAATTAGGACACTACGGAACCCTGAGAGGATGGGTTGGGCCTGTTCAACATCAAATTTTCCATGACTGATTCAATCATTTACCTTCATCGTTTGCTGTATCAGCCTGCACTAGTGTACACTGTATATGAGAGAAATATTCTCCTTACATGGCTTTAGCTCAGGAAAGGAAGCAGTATATTCTTGGTTCTTCTCCAAATTCTTTCCCAGAATTGTCTTGGGGCTAAACTTTGCAACATAATATTTCCCTAATATGATATGTACAGCAATATCAGCACAGATAATTAAAATTAAATCATGCTTCTCCAAATACATGAAAGGCGGCACATGGAATTTAGGATTTGGGGAACCAGTTTGGTTTGCTCACTTGGAAGTGACTTAATTGAACTTCAATGAGCTGAAATGTCTCTCAGTTATTCAAATCAGTTTGTATATACAGTATGGCAAGGTCAATCCTTTTGCACTACACTACTGTAGTATAGACGCTTAGAATCTTAATTCCACATAAACATGGACTCTAGATTTTGGAATGACTTTCTAGTATTTCTTCAGTTGCGGGAGATGTTCATTGGTAAACACCCCAGTTTGTGTGCAAAAAGTCATTAATTGAATCCTTGGCTTTCTGAGTTCTGAAAGTCAAGTACCAATTGATGGGAAAGATTTGTCTGTAGAAAGCTATTGGTTTAATCCCTTCAAATAATGTCCTAGAACTTGCTTTCTTTTCATTTTTGTCACTTTTCACAAAATTCTTCAATACCGGAAGAAGCTGCTTTTGTAGATCCAATATAGGGATGTTATCCAGGTTGCATTTTTTGTTTGTATATCCCATTTATTTATTAAAGCATCAACTGGTTTCATTTGTATATCCAGTGTAACAACTTTTCCCATATTATTGTAGACTGTCATTTTTAAAACCACTTTCAGATCAGTCTCATCCAGTAAAACTTGTTCCTTTTCCATAGCATCTTTTAAACACAACCTGTCTGTAATGGCAGACACTTTTAAAATTTACTTTTGGGATCATTGTTCATAAACATCCCTCAATATCTCCAATGGTGAAGTCTCATCTCCATTCTGTATTAGTCAGTCAAATTCTTTCTTCTCCTGCAATTGTAATCTTCAATTCCTTCCTCTAGTGTCCAACCTTCAATCTCATCCTATTATGTTTTTTAAGGAATTCAAAACAGCGGCATTCCCTCCTTATTTCGAATTCACCTGGACCCTTAGTTAGTTCGTACTTTTTCCAAAATTAACCTTCTGATCACCTTTTGCTGTTTATCTTTTAAAAAGAAATTTTTTAAAGCCCTTAAACTTATATTTAAAGTTTCTTTCACAAAGAATTTAACAAGATTCACCTGGTACTGTAAAATTTGTTCCAAAGGTTCTTAACAGCTGAAAAGCAGTTAATAACTGATTAAAAAAAGAAGTATGCAAATTCAGTATCCATAACGGTGCTGACCATGGTTTGGACAAAGAGGGTGTTTCCTCACCTCCCAGAGTTATAAACAAAATTTGATATTTATGATGGCAAGAATATGGCTGATTGATAACAGAAATAAGAATCAAGAATCATGGGGAATACAACAAAAATCACCACAGCTTTTTTTTTTAAAGACCCCAAGAAGCTGTGGGATTGGTGGCAAAATGTTCACATGAGCTTTCCATCCCTGCCATTTTTTCTCTATTTAAAAAAAAATCTTTGAAGTCAGTGGCCCAATAAATGAGAGTGTCTTGGGCTTCTTGACTGTACTATTTGAACAAAAAATATTCGATCCTAGAAAAAGCTTGATAAGATACAGATAAGGAGCTAAAAAGCTAATGGCTGTTGTTTACCCTTACATCAGTAGTGTCCACTGGCTATGGCAAAAAAAAAAAAAAAGTCAAGATGACAGCCACAACAATGTGATCGTAACTCCACCCATTTTTGTGTGAACTGAATATGAGATTCACATTAAAATAAGTGAAGCTTTGATCGTAACTCCACCCATTTTTGTGTGAATTGAATATGAGATTCACATTAAAATAAGTGAAGCTTTGATTGCACAATTTAAGTTGACATACTCAATTTTTTGCTCTGTCTGCCCAACCCCAATCTGCTGCCTTGTCTTCTCTTCAGCACTGTAAGAATGCTTTGCAAATAAATACATCTTTTAAATTTCCTGGAAATGAAGTAATGCTCTGCTTCCAGTCTTTCTTTTCTTTCCATTCACAATATACATTGTTCAAGATCTTGGAGTGGTGAGAAAAATCCAATATCAGCCCACTGAGCTCAAAGAGAATGCTTGATGTTTTCATTTCACACAAAGGCATATTCTCTAGTGCTAGAGCACTCCCCAAAATAAATTTGAATGGTGCCTTTTTAAATATTAATGAAAATGTAGACAATTTAAACTTTCTCAGTTTAGGAGATTTTTGCATGGTTATTCTGCCAGACTTAGTTCCTAGAGATGTGACACTTGGGGCCGTTCAGACATAGTCAAACTAGAACATCTAGTATCCCTGAAACCATTGCGAATTCTAGCTGGGTCAGTGAGGAGCATCATTGAGGGATCACACATCTTTGCCTCTGGTCTACTTTAACTAGTAACAGTTCTTTAAGTTTTCAAGTGGAAAATTCTTCCTATCAACTGTCACCTAAGAATTAAATGGAAGTGTGCTTCAACTTTCTGTAGCTATTACTGGGCTGTGCTTCCGCTCAAAGACCATCATTTATTTCCAAGATGCCTCTTCTGAAAAGTGATCAGGCTGAACTCTGTCTGGCCCCAGCTTGAGATCTGGGGCATCTTGTTTACTGCTCTCCATTTTACCTCTTTTTTCTCTCTCCCTTCATCTGTTTCCTAAACTTTTGTAGGCCTCCTTTTCAGCACAGCTGGCCTCAGTTAATTTCAGTCCTGCATATTTCGGAGGCCACTGAGGGGAAGTGATTCTACGGGGGCGGATGAGGGAAGTGTAACTTGAGATCTTTGTTAAATGTCTTCCGTATATACATCTTTTTTTATCAGCTAACTTTATCAGCTGCACACTTTGTTCGGGCATAGATGTCCCAGGGGATCCATTCAAGTCGCATCAAGATCTCTTTTTTCCTTCAAAGGCAAAGAGATAGATACTTTCTTATTGGATGATTAAGCCCAAAGCTTTCAAAAAGTTTTATTTGCAAAGAGGACAACAGCCTCACTTTTCTGTCAGTAGTAATTAAGGGAATCTATTTCTGATCCCTTTCTTTTAAGGTTTGTGTGGTCCATTTCCCAAAGTAAGCCTTTTGTCCGAGATGCATCAAAAGTTAGATGCTGGGTGTGTATATGGCTGTGTGTCTCAATGTACATGTGGTTCTTGATTTGCGACCACAATTGAGCTGAACAATTAGGCTGCTGAGCGAAGCATTTGTTAAGTGAGTTTTGCTCCATTTTACGATCTTTTTTGCCACAGTTGTTAAGTGAATCACTGCAATTATTAAGCTAGTAACACAGTTGTTGAGGGAATCTGGCTTCCACATGACACTGGAATACTGGAAATATGCTGTAAATATGAGTCACTTTGCCAAACTTTTTAATTTTGATCATGTGACCATGGAGATGCTGCAATGTTCATAAGGGTAAAAAAAGGTGACAAGTCACTTTTTTCAGTGCCATTGTAACCTTGCATGGTCACTAAATGAACTGTTGTAAGTCAAAGACTAACTGTACTTCTTACTAAACTTTACTTTGTTCTCTGAATTGAAGCTTATTTTGCTCACATTTTAATATCATGTTGTGATCAGTTAAAATTTAACAACTCGTATTAATAGAAACTCTTTAAATATATGATCCGAAATGATGAGCCGTTTCGGCCAGATGGTATTTGAATTTTTGGAAAACAGTGTACATTTTCACTATTTCGTTGATTATTGCTGTCCATTTGAATGGATTTATAAATATAATTTTTGTTTACTTCCCATTTCTTTCCTGAGATTCAACTGCATAATCTGCAGTGGATATTATTCCAGGACTTTGTAATCCAAAGCAATATAAAATTGTGTTGAATCTTACCATAGCAATGCCAACGCCACATGAAACAATAACACTCAGCATAAGCAAAGACTGCTCAGTGTACCGACTGGTTAATCTTCCAATTATGAGGCCCTGAACAACCTGGGGGGCGGGGGGAGGGAAGAGAGAGAGAGAAAAACACAGATACATCAAGGTCTAAGAAATTTCTAGATTAAATACAGGCTCATACTAAATAATACTTTTTGCAGAATATCCAGATCCAAAATTATACTATATCTAGGAAATGTTCAATTGACTGAATAGCATTATATGTTCCTGTCTTCTATCATTAATGTTCCTGCCAGTATATTCTGTGATACATGCCATGTTTATTGTCCTAATTTTATTTTTTTTAATGAATGTTTAAAAATAAATCTCCCAGGTGTTCACAGGTGTTTTGATCAAATCCACCTTCTCATTCATTTTGTAAGAGTGCCCATAATATTTGAAATGGACCAAATAAATTATATTATGGTGATGACATAAAGACATTACAGCTTAAGAAAACATTATACATAAATCCATGCGATGGACCTTTGTTGGTTTTTAAGGAGAAGCAACAGGACTCTTCTCTCATTACTGCTGGTCTTCAAACAGTTCCCATCTATAACCATTTAATCACCTCTTTCAAACAGTTTATTTGTCACACCAAATAAGCCTTTTTTGGGGTGGGGGTGGGGAAGCAGCTGGGAAGGCATTTTGAGTTGGAAAAATATCTACACATTTGGTAAGAATGGGCATGAGGTTACTATTTAAATTAGAGAACAGTTGGTTCATCATTAAAGTGAGAAATGTCAAAGGAGTAATCGAAACATACCACTGTGTCTTTAAAAAGTGGTATTATTTCAACAAATGTTTTAAAAACACAACCAATTACAATAAGATAGGAGTTCCCTATAATTCCATATAGGATTGATCTCTCTCAGTGCTTTGATATCATGTTGAGGAATCTGCTCTAAACAATACAAGTTAAATTAGAACATAAGAAATATAATGTATTTGGAAATGTAAGTTAGACAAGTACAAATTTTCCAAAAATATCTTTCATCCGAATGAGATTTTTTAAAAATAATAAAATGTTAACAAATTTGATCCTGGTCACTTTACTCAGCAAAATGAAGACTATATCTGTTTCCAGTGTATAGTGCACAGACAAAATATGAATGCTTAGTAAGAATATTTTAACTCCCCTCATCTCCTGCTTTTAAATATTGCTGATATGGTACACAGTTAATTAGGATAATTAAAAAAATGCCAGTTAAAAGATATCAGCTAAAATCTTAAACCCACTGATTATACTTTTTAGAAATGGATTGAAATACAGCAGTACAACTTAGTGCTCAGAGCCCTACTAAAGGTATATTTGTACACTAGCATTTGGGGAAAAATAATTCATAATCCACCATTATGCATATAAGGTTTCAATAAAAAGGAATCAACAGAAATTAAATTCTTCACTAGGTGCTTGAGTGACAGGATTTTTAATACAAATGGATCAAACCATCTAGTTAACATCCCTAGGCAGGAAAAATTCAAATGTTTACCAGGGAAGTTATCAACACTATCTAAATGGGAAGCTATAGAGGGAAAAAAAGCAAGCTCAAATGTAGAAAAGTAGGTAATAAATTAATGACAACACAATTTGATCCCTCAAAATAGTTCTTAAATGTATAGTTTTTTTCCTTGGGTGTACCATTGTACTAAACAACTAATTATAAGGTTCGAGATTCCACCCTAAAGACTAGTTCCCAGACTCCACAAATATATCTTTTAACACACTCATTTCTACACTGATTTCTACAAAAGGTAGCCATTGTGCAGCTGATAGAAAAAGAACAGCTGGGGCCATGGGAAGTGTTGTAATTACTACTGTATCATCTCTTGATTCTTTTTTGGGGGGAGGGGGGAGATGCAGGGAGAGTTTACTGTTCCATGGAACAAAATTGCAAAAAGTTTCTGTTAAATCCTAAATGACTATCAGAAAATCAGAAGCCCACTCTTGTCTGCCAGTTTTATGGCTGTGGTCCTTTGAATGAAATTCTACTGTATTTCACTATTGAACTTCAGATCATGCCATCAGAATATGTGCTCTAACATGCTAATAACAGCAGGTACAGGATTGCTTATCCAATCTATCCCTCACAACAGCAGAATTACTTTTGACAGTGCCCTAGTTTTGAGGACTTTGGGCTTATTTACACACTCACAGATACACACCCTCTTCCATCGGAGTGTTTTTTTCCCTTAAAATTGCTCAGCAAACAAAGAAAAGAGCAGAAGCAATATGAGAAGACCAGTGGTGATTGCATCACAATTACAGAACAAGTAAGCTACACAGCTGTTCTGTCTGCTATTCTGCTAGAGCAGACCATAAAAGGTAAAAGATCCATTTAATGTATTGCTCAGGAAAGATTATTCCCGATAGAAAATGGACTGATGGAGAAGGAGGGTGGGGAAAATTTGCTAATAGTTCCATCATCCATCACAAATTGTTCTTCATAAAGATAATTTAATCAATGCCAATGTGATAGCACACGGTGCTTTGCCTTGTATGGTAGTCTGAGAAAAGCTGCTTACATTTTGCCTTGTAAGGTAGTCTGGGAAAATGTAATGTGAAATAAGAAAGACTTCTACACTGTTGGCTAACAAATGTAAGAGATAAAAATTCCACAGGTCAAGATTGTAGAATGTGGGAGTGGGGTTTGGGTGCATAATGTATCAGTCCATGAGCAGACGATCAGCAGAGATGAAGATCAGCTGCCAGCAGTAGAAATTTTGGGGAAGAAGATACTATAAGGCAGACAGAATCAGGATCTTCTACAGGGTTTTTTTTTTTAATTGCTGCCTCTTCGGGTCAGAATGAATGCTTCTAATAATCAGGGACCGGTGGGGTTACAGCAGAAATTGGCTTTTCAAATCTGAAATCTTGGAGAGGTCATATTCTGTGAACCCTGAGAGGCTTGCACTGGAACAGGATATTCTGGTCTTTCAAAAGAAAGTCCCTTGCACAGTGTTAAGTATAAAGCTGGCAATACTTCACTGAGAAAGATTCATAACTCTTTCTGTCTCTTGGATTGCACTCAAGAAGAGTAATTTTCAAAGACAGTTTTTCCCCAGTACGGTATTCTTCCAGTGATTTTTGAAAGAATTCCTATAAACTGCAGAAAGACTGTTCAAATGTAAAGTCTACTGGAAGTGGACTTTAAATGGTATGGAGGACATTATGCTGGGAGGCTGCTCAAGCAAAATAATTCACAAACACAGCTAATATTATAATGTAAGACAGCCTAGATCAGGGATGTCAAACTGGTGGCCATGTGTCATGCGTAGGCCACCCCCCAGCCCAGCTCCACGAAGGGGAAAAACATTGCAGTACGTCGTATGACGGCAACGTGGTGCTATGAGTTGACACCCGTGGCCTAGATTAACCCAAGAAACTATTTTTTACAGAACCAGACCACTGACTAATCTGAGTACTGCAAACAGGTAATCATATTTGCCAATATGTTCATGTAATTCATTATCGGATATATATACTTGGTCACATTGCAATAGAGCCGTGATGGCGAACCTATGGCACGCGTGCCAAAAGTGGCACACAGAGCTATCTTTGCTGGCATGAGAGCCAGCGTCCGGGATCAGGTCCACTGCACATGCACATGCGCCCCCCCGCCACACATGCATGGAGGGTGGGGAGTGAGAGGGACACGTGTGTGCATGCACAAAGACACATGGTGCATGTGGGGGGCTGGGGGGTCACACGGACATTGCATTATGGGTGCAGGCACACATGCATGCACACGCACACACATGCATGCACTTTTGGCACGCGACAATGAAAAGTTTAGGCATCACTGCAATAGAGGATGAATCCCCCTTTTTGTTATAAAATATGTCGTATTCATACATCTCAAGAGCCCTGCAAAAGTAAAGGAGACAATGGGAGATCAAGAAATCTTGCAACCTCCTATTCAGAAGGGACCAAATGTCTCCTTCACATGAAAAGAAAGATGTCTTTAGTCAAGGTAATTGAACAAGGTCCTATTTTTACAGGAGTTCAAAGGGAAATTAGATGCTGAACTCGTCAACAGATTATAGCTCTCTCTTCTATCACCTGACAATAGCTGAGAAACTAAAAGGAAATGATCAGGTGAGAGTGCTACTAAGTTTTTAAATTAACGATTGTGTAACACACCCAAATGCTAGCCTGTAGCTATATCAGCATAATTGTATATCATTAATGCACTTTATGGAATGATACTGAGTCAAGGATATGTGAAATGAAGGTGGATGTGTTTTGTAGCCTCTGATTCTGAAAATGACAAGAGAACAAGTTATTCTTATGTCTCTTCTATGAGTATTAGATAAGATGCATTAGGTTTTGTGCTACCCGATACCACTTAGCAGTTACTAGCATGTTGCAACATCTCATACAACATAATGTACCATGGAATAATGGCTACATAGATTAGCTACTTAGGAAAAATTGCTAGCTCACATGAATCACACCCTCTCCTCCTACAGGCATTCTACCAAAGGGCGGAGGCTTACCAGACTTCAGGCATTTTTTTGAACTCAGGGTCACTGACTCAGCAGTCCCATAATAGGTGGGGCTATGCAGCCTGTAATTCTTACCTAAACTTTGCAGTATCACCTATAGGTGGAAAGGATCCTTGGGATTTGGTTTTCTATAATGATGTTGAGTTTTTCTTCAGCTATCCTTAACTATTATCTATTTCTGATCTCCTCTGTTTTGAAATATAGCAGCCTTCCCCAAAATTTGGTAAATGTACAATTCCTTCAGTAGATACAAATAGGCATTTTAATCTGTCTCTTCCCATTGTTAGCCTGTGTATGACTAAATATTGTTCCACCAACTCCTTTGTAGAACCACCAGTTTTCCCAGCAATTCTTCCAGTTAATTGTGTCCGAGGGAATCGTAGAGTATAGAGGTAGCTAATGACAACTTTCACACATATAGACAAATTTTGTTTTCAGGAATGTGGATTGATTTAGGGACTTGGTTATATACCTTTGGTATTTAATTCCCCAAACACCATACTGAATACCTAAACTTGGACAATAAAGAATTCTATTCTTAA